GGTCGACCAATCAAATGCTGAACAGTTTACTGGGTGACCTTTGACCGTTAACTTATTGAAAAAACTTAGGTTCACTTTTTCCTAAAATTGAAAGTTCATGAATTTGAAAGAAAAAAATCAAGACACGAAAAACTTCATGAATTTGAAAATTTTCATGGATTTGAAAAATGTTTGCAAATTTGAGAATTATTTGTGGATCTGAGAAAAGTTGCGGAATTCAAAATGTTCACAGATTGATAAAAATTCACGGATTTGAAAAATGTTCATGAATTTAAAATGTTTAGAAATTTGTAAAGTTCAGGATTTTTAAAATGTTCACAGATTTGAAAAGATACTCACGAATTTAGAATGAAAACTAAACATAAAAATAAAAACAAACCAGAAAATTTGGACAAAAAGCAAGCCAAAAAATACCTGATCAGAAGCTTCTCAAAACCAGTTTTTTTTAGCATCTGTAACCTTTATTAATGATCAAGGTTTAACGGGATAGAGATGATATTGGGGAAAACTGCTAGCCACACATGGCGCCCAGAAGGAAGGGAGGAGGCCGCTTTGGCTAAAGAGTGAGCTTCAGTGTTGTGTTGCCTCCTTTCGTGGACTACCTGGATAACACCGATTAGATTTTTTTGTGCTCAAAACCAGTTGGGAGCTTCACAAAAACGTTCTCTAGATAGGCCGGACCATGAAAATCTAACGAAGGGAATACACGTGTGCGATGTGTACCGTCTTCACTTTAACGGCGCTTTAAGTCGTAGAATATGAGTTGGCGCCAAATGCTCCTGTTCCGGTCGCGGGCTGCTGGAAAGCGACTAAACGCGCATGGTGAACCGGCCCACTTGAGTCGATATTTTATTCAATTTCATCGCATAGCTTCATCTTGCCTCTGGCACTCACTGCTATATTGTCTTAGTGGTTCGGCACGTTGAACCGATTTTGCAAAAGTACCGAGCACTGGTTCGTGGAACCTTCCATCGTTTTTGCCTGATTTTGGAAGGTTCCATGCAGTTTTTTTGTTTAATTTTTATTTTAAAAAATTGTTTCCAAATACATATAAAAAATCATGGATGTTGTACATTTCTTGTATACGCGCCAAACATTTTTTGATACAATTGAAGATTTTATTAAATACATGTTTGAATATACTTTTTTCAAATACATGTTAGAAAATTATATACATATTGAACTTATTTTTGAAACATGTAAAATATTTTCCAGATACAACTTGAACATTGTTTAAAAATACATGATGAACATTTTCTCATATGCACATTGTACATTTTTCATATACACATTGGACATTTTTTATATACGTTGAACATTTTTTAAGCACATAATGAATTATTATTTTCAAATACAAGTTTAAAAAATATTTTTCAAATACATGTTAATAATTTTTTTAATACATGTTGAACATTTGTCAAATACAGTTTGAATATTTTTTAATACAAGTGAAACATTTTCCAGATACACCTTGAGCATTTTTTCGAAATACATGTTAAACATTGTATGAATACACATTTTACATTTTTCTTATACACGTTGAACATTTTATGACACATATTAAACCTTTTTCAGATACATGATGAACATTTTAAAAAATACATGTTTGATCTTTTCTGAATACATGTTAAACGTTTTCCCTGCACAAGCTAAACATTTTTAATGGACGCTGAACATTTGTAACACACATTTTTTTTAATGATTCAAACTTTTTACAAACTTGCATGAACAATTTTTTACACCGCATGAAAAAATGCATGATAAGAGCATATATGGTCGGGTGCCTCAAACCCGTCTCATACGTCTGGGCAAGCTGCCCGATCAGTGTCCGATCACGATTTTTCGACCTAGACGAGCTCCTTAAACGAACCTCAAACGCCTCGGGTGACTGACATCCCTCATATCCAGCCCAAAAATGGGGCGGATATGAGGGCCCCCGGGTGTCGAACCCGACCCACGTTGGCACACCCGACCCCATACATATTCCTTCCCATCCACTCGACGGTCCAAACCCTAGCCACTTCACTCCACTCCCCTCCGCCACCCAAGCTCGTCTCCGACGCCTTCCGGCTATCTCCGGCATGGCGGGCAGCGGATCCAAGTCCTTCACCTCTAGATCCGCTGACCCCAAGCTCATCCCACGCAGTCCTGAGGAGGAGATGGTCGTCCGGCTCACGCTCCGCCGCGCCCGGGAGGTGGCCCGTGCACGGCAACGCTCGGCCTCCTTCCGTCAAAAATCCATTGCGTCTGCCCAAATGGCGCATGGATCCGGCACTAGGCCAGCCATAGCTGCCTCGCCGGAGGTGGTGCGGTTCGTCCGGCGTCCGAACGAGGCGGCGGACGCGCAACCCCTTCATTGGCGCGCCGAGCATCGGGACATACCATGAGCCTCGTCCGACGAGAACATGGCACGGCAGGCACCGGGGCGCGGGAGGTGACAGCAGCCCTCGCGACGGTGGACGTCGGCGAGGCGGAGTCGCATTCTTCGGCGCCCCATATGGCGCATCAGTCCATGCGCCGCAAACCGCATCGTGGTGGACGTCGCGGGCTCGTCCCAGGACGGATCCGTCATCGACCTGCCATCCACCGGCACCGTTCTGGTTACGGGCTCCGACGAAGAAGAGTATGGCATGCGAGACGGCGGCACCTTGAGTCCTGTGAGTCAGCTCTTGTCCCATGTTCTATTCTACCTTGCCGGCGACCGAACTAACACTCTGAGGTGCACATCCGGCCGCCGGACATGGCCACGGCGGAGCCGGGCGAGCGGGGAGCGGAAACGGACAAAGTTCCGCTCAAGGATCGTTGTGTTGCATCTTGCATGTAATAATATGGATTCGAGGTTTGTAATTTAAGGTATCTGAATGTGAAATGCATTTTTTAAGGCGTGATCGGTTATTGTCCGGGCGCGCCCACAGGCGTTTGAAGAGGCGGATTTGCCAGATCCAACTATAGATGCTCTAAAATGCTTAGACGAACTTATAAAACCAAAAGAAACGAATGGAACGCTGTTAGGCCGGCCCACTAGCACATCTCTTAACGCAAGGGTACACACCGTCTTGTCTAAAGTGAGACATTGCCGCGCCCGACAGGGCCAGCCGGTTTAGAGCCGGGGGTTTCCCTAGACGGAATAAAAGCAACTATTGTATAAAATTTAAAAAATGTTTTTAAATTATTTGGTAATTTTTAAAAACTTTATTTTTAAAAAATGTTTAAGAAAAATATTCATAAAATTTTAAAAATATTCATGACTTTTAATAAAAATCTTTCTTTTCTTTAATGAATGGTCATGAATTAAAGAAATATGTTTGTAAAAATAAAAAAGGAAACTAAAAAATAAAAAAGGGATAATAAATGGAGGAAAACTGCCAAAATGGAAAAGAAATGAAGAAAGGCAGTGGCGGGGTGAGGAGTGCCCGAACCGGGCCGACCCACTTAGCATTTCCGCGGTGGGATGTGCGTGCAGTCGCTCAACAACCCCCTCTCCCAATGCGTAAAATGGGAATAGTAGGGCAGACCAGCCTATTGTCAACCGTGAAAGTGAGCATTGGT